TCCATATTGCTCTATATGTCGAGTCCAATTTGTAATGGATGGCCGTCACGATCTCCTTTTGCAGTGCTATCCGTGGAGCAACTATCGCTGATCATTACTGGGAAGCAAGGTGTCGAATGAGGAAATGACTGTTTTCAATTTTTGTATCCTTGTTCTCTTGAGTTGTGTAATTTTTACCCTGAGTCAATCCCCTCTGCCTTTAGAAGAAAAAAAAAACATTCTCACAATCATTATAAAAAGTATAGACATTTTACTTAAAGAAAACAAAAATATTTTAATATGGAAGCATATTATTTTTCTTTTCATCCAAATTTAAAATTGTTTAAAATTTTTAAACTTTTTTTTTAAATGTCTCTTGCAAGATTTTCGAGTCGTTTTCGAATGCCAACTTTTTGGTACATTAGCAGAATAAAATTAACATCAAAGGAAAACAAATTTTATTAAAAAAAAGGATATTTAAATATAGGAAATAAAGGAACTTTAAAAGAAGTTTCATTATTGGTATTAATTCAATGGTTTTGTGTTTTTCAAATTTTCTTAACGGTTCCGAAAAATTATGAGATATTACCATATACATTAATATTAGATTTTATGCCATTACATTTATTAATTGTTGGAACATTATTATAAAGTTATATTCTGTAGAAAATGAGAAATTTGCGGTCGACAGGAAAAAATCTTATTATTGTTTTTTTCATAAGCTTAATGAAGTAATATTTTTGACACCCAATATTTATTATTTTTAATAAATTATTTGTTTCTTTACTATTGAAGAGTGTAGAAAAGAAGATGGAATTTAAACACACATAACTTAGGTGTGTTTTAGTTGCGAAACTATTGCAAAATTATATTTTATCGAAAATGAAAGGGTTTAAATTAAAAAAATGCGATTGCCAGGAAAATTGTTCTTATTTTTGTTCTTTTCATAAGCTTAATGAAGTTATACCATCTGACGCACGATATTTATTATTATTAAAGAATTATTTCTTTCTTTATTGCTTAAGAGTGTAGATAAGAACATGCAAATAAAACACACAATATAGTTTAGTTTTGGATTAGTAATATTTTCTGTACTGCATGAAATGATCATAATCTTATAAAGTGTAAATAACTACATTTATTACTAGCGAGACTACATTTGTGTTAGTTGCAAAATTTTATATATTTAACTGTATTATTGATCAGAAAACATTAAATGCAATTTATTAGAAACTATATTTCCCTTACATGCTGTAACTTCAGTTACTAGAACAATTTTCAACCGATTTACTTTCAATTTTGATACCATGTTTTCTATTAATATTATTTTTGCACCACATAGAGATTTTTTTAATAGGGATGATTGGTTTTGACTAATACAAGAAAATGTAATTTATTTTATATAATTTTTTTGGAATTTTTTTTCCAAAACATCATTATTCTGTGAGAAATATTTATTTTTTAGAATTCCTACGTGCAGCGCAAATTATGCTCAAGTAGTTTAAAAAAAATTAAAACAGAACCGAATTTGGATGATGTTTTTTCACCTTATGAGTACAGCAAGTTATGAGCAACTAAAAACAAAAATATAAGCATTTTATTGTGTAAGCGCTTTTAAAATGTTTGTTACTGATTAACTGAAAATTAAAATATTTATAAGATAAAAAAAATGTTTTTTTTTATTTATTTTTTTTTTATCACGATCGTTGCAACGTTCATTAAAAAATCCTTTTTTTACAGGCTTCTACTGTGTTGTTTCGCCCTAAGATTGTAAATATTTCTGATGGAAGGTGAAATAAACTTTACGATAGAGAAAACAATTTTTGTCAAGAAAAAAGGTAATTAGTGTTATCTTGTTTCAGATAATTGATTTGGAAAAAAAGTGAACAAAGATAACAATGTTTTTTTTTCTGAAACCATTAAATAAAAAACCTGAGATAATATTAGCTGCTCAAAAAAATAAATATATAAAAAGCAAATAATGCTTATTTACCTTTCCTAATATTGAGAAAATGTAAAGAAAAAAACAGTATAAAATGAATGAACATTTTAAAGAAAAGAATCTTAATTTTTTCAACATGGATATTTTTGGTAACATAATCATTTTTCAATTAAAACTCACTCTAATAACCAAAAAGGGATAAAATTACTATGTACCATGTTGGTTCAAGTAAATTTGAATCTACATATTTTTCCCAGTTAGAGTAGCTATTTAAAGAGCTTGAGAAGAACTTTAACAGCAGACTATCAATTAAGCAGGCTAATAGTTGAACCATAAAATCGGTAAAAATTTGCTGCAGCTTTAGGATCTAAAACTGTACCATGATTCCGTTTGAAATGAATGATAGCATTATTTAATCAAGAAGTTTGATCAAATGATTCAACTTTTAGCGGTATATTGAGGTTGCAGCAAATTCGATTCTAAAGACTAAATAAACTCGAATCATATTTCAGTTTCAACAGAAATTAAAATTTTAATCATAAGGTTAAAAAAAAATTAAATAAACTCTTTCTTTATGCTCTTGAAATCTTTTTTGCTTAAAGTACGCACTATAGACAAATAATTTATATAATACTACAGTGGTTTTTGAGAAATTATCAAGTTCAGGTTTGCTTAAACTTTAGTAAGATGCCAAATTGAACCATTTAAATTGTATCGAATTGTGTTACTTATGCCACTTGCCAATCAGCAAACCTGGCGCCATCTATGTGCATATTTTTCAGTGGCGTAACTTTGTCGTAATTTCTATCTGAGCCAGAGAACGATTAATCTCCAATTCAGTACACTCAGAGGTATCGATTTGTTATGGGAACTTGGAGGATTTTGTAACCCCGACAGATTTAAAGTGCACCAGTCACCATATAATGGTGGGAGTCACGAACATGAGTTCATCATTCTACCAATTAGGCTGTCTCAGCCGAATCGAATTGTTTATCATGCAAATTACTCCTTTTAGAATTTGTTTACCTGATAGTGAGGTTCAAGCTGAACAGAAATATGATTCAATTGAAAAATTTCAACTATAATCTGTTTATTACGGTTCAATATAAATAATCAGTATTATAAGGGGTCAATGGAGTATGGTCTTAAATTGTTGATAGTCAAAAGGTTCGATGCAAGCGAATTTCAAGTTTTTAAACTAAATTTTTTATCTAAATCCGTTGTTTGTAGGTATTTAAACAAATTTAAGTGGTTAAGATAACCGTATAAAGCTATTACTTACATAGGGATAAACATTCTTTTTTATCCCCAAATTTTTTTTCGAAAAACACACTTCAATGATATTTGCTAAATTATTAAAAAATTAGATCAAGGTTTTCATAACAATAAAATTAAAAAAAAATGATGCGTGAGGAGTTTTTTAAAGTTGCAAGAACATTGAAAAATTCCGTAACGAGAAAAAGTAATTTGATCAACGGGAACTGCATATTGATGTATAGATCTTCACTAATTACGCTTTTTTTTTAACTTGATAAGGGAAACTCCAGTTTGAACATGATTAATTGCATATTATTTGGTAAAATGTTGAATTTTTTATTGTCTAAAAAATTCCTGGTTTGGTTTTTAATAAATATAATTTGGTTTTTCAAGAAGAGTAACAAAAAGGAAGCACAATGCTACTTTTAATCTAAATTTATTTCATGCTAACATTTTAGCATTTTAGGAAAAATAATTTTTACAGACTTAAAAGTATGGCAGCAGATCTCCTACCAGCTAATACAATTGAAAATTTATTGCAGCAAGTTCCTTATCCACTTATGAAAATTTTGAAAAGCAGTTGCAAAAAGGCATGTCTTGCATAAGCATTTGGAAAACCAAAGAAACAAGATATTCTTTCAAACGTTTTAAGACGGAAATGACATTTTAAAAAAATAACATAATTATCGCTCATCCTGTGTCTACGAAAACCAAAAAACTGTTTTCATCAACCTGATATTTTCATAGATATGCCTTTATTCTTAAAATATTTTTTTTTCAAATTAAAACCTAAAACATTTCTTGTTAAAACAGTTAAATTCACAGTTCTAAAAATTTTTATGCTTTGTTATGCGTTCAATTTAAAATTTTGTGTGCTCAATATATTAAATTCATGGATATAAATTAGTTAAAAATTAGTATTAATGAATATACTTATGTTACGCTATGTTTCCACAATGATAAACAATTTTTTAATAATTATTCTACGTTAAAATAACAGCTATTTATTTCATATCAAAACTATTTGTGAGAACTATTTCTGATATAGACAATACCTTTTGCAGTGTCAAATAAGTGAACAGAACTACTCGGAGAAAAAAAAAACTCCGGTAAAATTACCGTACTGTATGATAATGGCATTTGTGGTATAAAGGCCATTATCCTGGTTAATAAAATTAATATATACAGTATTTGAGCCATTCATTTGGTGATTTTTCTGCTCATATGGTAATGGTTTACAGGAAATTCTAGTTTTCAAAATTTTAGTTCTTTTTACCACAAAGATTGTTAAAATATAAAGCTGTAAAGTAAATTTAACCGAATAATTTATTTTTATGCCATGTTCTATCATCACAAAAATACTGAATTTATTACACATTATGAAACCATATTTTTTTATTAATTTTACCAAAGCCATTACAAAGCACTTCGGTAAAAATTACCGATCTTTTCGTTTTTTCCATAATGTCAGAAGCACGATAAATTTTCCCATATTCTGGTAATTTCGACCATGCTTTGTTTTTCTCATTGCCAAATCACTTTTTAAATTTTACGTAATTTTGCGTAAAATTATAAAAACAAATTTTGTAGTTAGATGTTCCTGAAATTCCTTATAGAAATGGAGCAACATAAATGATTTTCAAATAAAGAAGGAATTTAGCATATATAAGAAAAAAAGAAGAAAGAATTTAACATATAAACTCTTAACATTATTTAAGTACCAATCGTAGAAATTTTAGTATCTATTCGTTTTAATAGATGGCGTGCACAGTCGGTATATTTAGCCTGGGAAAAGTAGAGGGGAAAATAGGGATGAGGAGCGAGAGCATCATCTTCGGATGCTGTCAGTGGAGTTCATCCCAGTTCCGTGTTGGGGTAAGTGAGATAGCCGACAAAACGTGTGTTTTCTCTATCCCTAGAGGGGGACGAACGAATCTTGTCCCCCCACGGAAGTATTTTTTGGAAATATAGATCTTCCGTTGAAAAATTGAGTTCGTATTTGTTAATGAAATGAACAGAAATAAACTGTTATGAATGGTATAGAATTCTTAAAATAATGCAGAGGATTGATTAGTAGTTCTCTGTGCCGGTTTGTGTGAACGTGTGCATACATTTATTACTTATTATTAAAGGTTTTCCTGTACATTCATAGAAGAGTTGATTTGAGGGAACTGTTTACTATTTGGTAAATAAAAGTGATGTGAGATTTACTTTTGAAGAATATTTGCTTCTAATATATTGTGATTTTTGGATTTATTAGCTAAAACTACTGGATTAGTTTGAAAAGAAAAAAAATGTGAGCTGCATTAAAGGAATTTGGAAATATTTGATTTTGCATGCGTTAACGGAGATAAAATTGAGTTATTGAAAATAATAGGCCATAATTATTTGAATAAATTAAAATTGTAGATTTTTAGAACTATTATCTGTTTCTAAAAATAATAACAACCTTAATGTGTTAATAAAAAGAAAATTTTTGATTGGTGAAACTTGCGTGAAACAGAGTTTAATAACTATCCAGAGTGTAATATTTGATTTTATATTGGATAAAACCAGCAATATATGCACTAAATATCTTGTTTAGTGTTTTATGTGAACAAAGTGTCAACAATTTTTGGATAACCTGTTTTAATATTTGATACATAAAACTTTCAAAAATGATAAATTTGGTCTTATTTACCTAATTAGTGACAAATGTAGTGATTAGCAGGCGTGTCTACTGCCCGATAGCAAACTTGTGATCATGTTATGAAGATCTCTAATTATCAGTGTCCATCGTGGCCGATTACGATTGTGATTGTTGGCGGACGGACCCTGCCCTCGCAGCGGGTGGGGGCGTCACGCCTTCACACCTCACCACCTCCCCATGTGTCCTGGAGATGACGTTAGATGCCGTGAAGAGCAAAAAGAAGAAACAGAAAAAACCTAAAAAACCAAAAACTGCCAAGGCCAATTCTCCTGGTCGCTGCAGACGTTGTTGTGGACGTTTTGCTGCTTTCTTGTTTTCTCATATAGGGTTGTGTGCCCTTGTTATCGGTTATAGCATCATGGGAGCATTTGCTTTCAGAGCTTTGGAGGCACCCTATGAATCCAAGAAAGCTTCTCAAGTAGGACTTCTTAGGCAAGAAACTGTTAAAAGACTGTGGGAAATAACCGATAAATTGAATGTCTTGTATAAGGATAACTGGACAGAACTTGTTGAGGCAGAGGTGCGGAGATTCCAGAAGCATCTGATTGTGGCTGTCAAAGAAGGATACGACGGTAAAGAAGGTTCCGGACAACAGTGGTCCTTTTCCGGGGCCTTCCTTTACTCCCTGACTGTTATCACTACAATCGGTAAGAAGTTTTTATTGAATACACATTTAAATTATTTTGTATTCTTTACTGTTCATGTGACTTTATAATCCTTTAATAAAAATTGTGGTAAAAAAATTGGTACACCGGCACTCAGGGTGCAAGTACATTTTACCTTAAAATTTTATACCGCAGTTTTTACTGCAATATTTGTGCAATGCACACTGATTCAGTAAATAATATTATTTAATATATTATCAGAAAAAAGGATATGATTGGAGGGAGGGGTTTTGATAAGAAAAAAGAGTTGTTTAGTTTTCCCCTCTAGGAGATAAACTTAATGTTATTTTTGAGTTAAAATAGACATATCTTGTGCAGAATATTAACATTTTACATGCATCTTAATATTAGCATCACATTTATTATCCCAATTGCATTTTATAAAATACTTTAGCAATCATATTTAGCTATCTATAACGTGCTGAATGCAAATTTTGAGAAACGGGGTCAATTGTAGTTTGTCTTTCTTAAAGTAAGTTATGAGTTTTTTAGTCCTAACTTTTAGCTGTATTTATGCTCAAATTTGTACTTTATCACATTTTTACATTTATTTTATTTTATATTAAATTAAAATAATTTTAAACTCAAAATGCATTGGACAAAATAAACTTAACATAACTGAATATCAATTTTTTTTTATTAATTGTGTTTATGGACACAACCAGATAAACTAATTAAATCACATTCTACGGTTCATTTGATAAAAATCAACTCAAACACAACGCAACTCCAATGCCTATTACCTAATAAAAAGTTTAGCCTTAATATCCAGCTAAATTTCTTTTTTAAGGTTTTGAAACCATGCTAATTGTTAAAAGTTTAAAAATCGTACAGTTTTGCATTCATGGTCTTTTAACCACACTAGTGGTTAACGGTTTCAAACCCGTAAAGGTAAAAAAATGTTCTTTCCCTTAAATTTTCCGGTTAATTGGATGGACAGACTGCTGCCAGCTATCTTGCCAAAATTTTAGAATGAAAATTCCAACAATAGACATTGCGGTTGTAAACATTAAATGTAGACATTAAACTTTATACTGATTTTGCAAGTTTAATTAAAAAAAAATACCTTTCTACACAAAATGCAGCCACGTAAAATATTAATTCGATACCGGCATTTTTAATAAATATTGCTTAACTTGCAAGTAAAATATAAAACGAATTCCTTAATAATAATTGCTCTAAAGTTAATAATTTTTCAAATTAGTTAATCTAAGATGCAAGCAATAAATTAAGTTAACCAAATAATTTAAGGAAAAGTTTGTAATTATGAAGCTATTTTATAATTTTATCGCTAATTTGATATTGATAGCCTAATTTTGAGTTCAAGCATTTTTCTGTAGACTCTGGAAGAAGTTTTATACTAATTATCTCAGCGTTGATCCCTAAAGTAATGCAATATTCCTTATAATATTTCAGGGTTTAACGGAAAAAGGCAATAATATATTTATGTCGCCATATTAACTATTTAGAGCTTAGAGATCTGGATAACTTCATATTATTTAGTTTTAACGAAAAATAAAATCTTAGTTGTTATATTAAAAAGGTACTTTCATTAAGATTATAATTAAATAGATGCAAGGTATAGTGTAATTAGTTTTTCTAACATATACCTTTATGTAATTTATAAAATATAATAGTATAGGAAATATTAAATATTTATATTTAAATGAGAAAAAACAAACAAGATAAAAGTAATCAGAATTTGATGGATTTTTTATTCAAGTGAATTCCAATGGAGATAGATTAAAATAAACCAAAACCAGATTTTTCATACTAATTGATTCCGATTATTATTCATTTGGCATCGATAGCTTTTTTCCCCACGTAACTTTCAGGTATTTAATATCTGAAACAGGGAAAGTTTTTATTATTTAATTTCTACGTGGTTTGAATCTACATTAATAATGATTGTTAAACAACAACTTGTACATCAGATGTAGAGGTTTGAGATATTCTGATTAAAAAAACTGAAATAATATTTTGAAATCTATTTTATTTATTTATTTTTTTCGAAATTATTGAATCTCGAGTAATATATTACTTCAAATTTTATTTATATTGCGCAAGATATCCATTATTTGAAGAGCTTTGGGTAATACAGAGATTGATGAATCACACTGCATCCAGAGGCGACATTTTTACATCGAACTGTTTTCAAATAAGTTGTATCTAGTAATTTTACTAGATAACTGGACAGTACTTTATATGGATATATAGAAACCTTCTGTTGACTTCAAGGAAATCGTTTTATTTTTCACCAAGAAGAGCACTCTGAACAATATAGAATGTGTCTTAAATTTCATTGATTTCCATATATTATGCAGTTGACTATGGAGATTTTTATTATATAACAGCGCAATACTTAGAGAAATATTTTATTGCCTGCAAGGAAAACAAGGTGTTTTTCCCCATGCTCTCCTGAATTCTGTAAAAAATGTGGCTTATAACTTTTTTTTTGGCTTCAGATTTTCAATTGTTTTTTATTTCATTTTAATTTATCAGTTGATAATCCAGGTTAAGAAATGATCCATGAAAAAAAATGGATCAACTGATGGTGCAAAATACAATTTATTTTACCATTGTTAAAAACTTGTCCATAATATTAAAAAAAATAGAGCACCACAATTTATGGCTACGGAAGATAAAGTTAATCAAAATATAGTTATGATAAATAAAAAAGCATACCTAAAAAGTAAAACATAGCTTTTAAAGCTTTTTCATATCTAAGTGTTAAAAAGAACATATTTTCTATCATGTAATTATTTGACATCATGAATTATTCTACAAAAACATATTTGTATAGCAAAACATAGTTTATCTGAAGGTATTCACATAACTAACTGCTTGTTTTATATAAAACATTTTCCCACTTAGGAGAGATAAAAATTCTTAAATGATAAATTTCAGGATACATAAAATTTACTTGGATTTATTCACGTTCAAGTTATTCGTGATAAAAAATGGAGTCTACTAATGGAGTCTAAGAATTTGGCAAATTTATTTTCCCAACCCCTTATTAAACTGCAAACTTTTTATCCTTAACGATAGTACTAAAGTGCAACTCTGAATTTTTTATATGATTTTATTGACACCGCAGATGATATTGCAGAATTGGCCTGATCAAAAATGCAGCATCTCCAATATTTGCTATTTCGGTTTTCCTCTCTCTTAAGTTCCTAATACTTCTAAGAAAGCTCTATACTCACAATATCTAATAAAGTACTTATTTCTTATTATAATAATAAGAAATCCAAACTGTAAAAAATTGCCGTAAGAAGTACCGGTACTTAAATGTTTTGGTTTCGGTGCCGGTACTTTTCATCACAAAATCCAATTTTGTCTGAATCAGCATTAGAACGAATAATTTAGGTTTTGATTCTTTACTAGTATGATTGATTCATTACTAGTAGGAATCAATTCACTTAATGGGTCCTGTCAATTAAAGTTAAGGGAATGACCATGCTTTTCAAGGATGGACGCGTTTTAATTAGTTCTTGTTTTGTTTTATTCTGAAAATTCTACTCATGAATTGTACATGACTTTCGGTTTCTTCTACACTGTAAAAAATTTTGTATAAAATCGCGCTTTAAAGTCATCATAAAAATCCGTTTCAACAAAGTCCACTTTTACTGTAAAACATTATATCATTATTTTTACATTAGTATTTATTTAATTAAAGTTTAGGGTAATTATTACTGTACAAATTACTGTATATCAGATGTTTTGTTTCGTAACGTGTTCCATAAAAATACCCTGATCTGATAGTACCGGTATCTTGAGTGCCGGTACTTTTTTACCGTAATTTGATCCAGAAACTTTTAGAGTGTATGGTATCACATGATTCGGAGTGCTCTGATGGCTACTGTTTGTTCTGGTTCTGTTGTCTAAATTCGATAAGTTTTAATTTAATAAGGTAACTATTATTGATGTTTATAAATCCATGTCAAAAGTTTTTAAAGATGTTGAATGAGATTTGGATCTCAGAACTTGAGAGCTATACTTTATTGATTTAAAGTCTCCTTCTCGTTATCTTCGGTTTAAATTCAATTCAGTTAAATTTATTTCCTTTTTCAAATACATTAACGGAGATGGGGATTTCCACAATTGAACGAAATACACATTTATTCCCCTTTTTTGCTCTAAATTAAGAAGAAAAATAACGAATTTAAAAATACAACACAATTTCATGCTTATAGAAAGCTTAGCATATCGATGCATCAATCATTTTTGTTATACCAAAGCAAATTGAAATGAAAGTATGATGCAGTGGAAAAGCCTTACAATAGACCTGATGCTAACTTTTCACGTCTGCATATAATTTTAAAAAGACTTGAATTCATGACATTTTTCCTGTTTTTTCCTGTGATGATAATTTCTACGAATTAGAATCGAATTAGAATAACGTATGTTGTAAAACTGTGATATGGGTAGTAAACATAAAATGTTTTCAGGAAAGCATTTTAACAACAAAAAATTTAATTCGCATTTAATATTTAGATAACTTTAAGTAGAATTTCTTTTAAAAATATTTTCAAATATTATGTCTTACGTAAAACTTTTAATTTCCAGGATTCATTCATAAAAATAAATTATAAATTCATTATTTATAAAAAAAATGTTTTCAATATTTCATAAATGGAGTTTTATAAACCAATTACTTGATGTCTCAAAAATAACCAATGCTAAGATTAATTTATTAAAAAAAAATCTACCAATCAATAAATCGAAATGTACTCTTTGCTGTGTTCTGCTTTAAAAAGCCATAATTTATTTTCCCTCTATTCCAAAATTAGTCAAAATGTTTGACACCGAATGGCGCTGTCGACTAAAAAATTATAAGCCGATGTTATTTGCTGCCCACCAGACCTTTTCAACTGAAAACTTTGCTCGTGTGACAGTGTGCATCACGTTATTGCTGCAAATGACAGTTATTTTGAAAATGGTTTATTTTATAGTGTTTTCTCAATTAGCAGCACCATTTT